TATGTCCACATAGCTTCCCCGTGTACCGCTGGATGTAGCTACCGCTTTAAGAACTGGCATCGACCGAAGTTTCGACATCGGTGGCGAGAGCAGGTCAAGAAGCATGTTGCATCTTGGAAAGCTTTAGGAAGACTTCTGGAGGACCGCTGCAAAGAGATCCTGGTTACCCAGGAATGGCCAAAGAACTGTGGTCTTTGGAAGGAGGAAAGTTATTTGAAAGAAAAGAAGCGCCTTGGTCTGAACTTTGGAAGGGTTGTGGACCGTTGTGCCTTCGACGGGGTCTTTAAGCGGTGGTTCTTTGCTACAAACCGAGAGGAGTGGAGTGAAATCTTCTCTGGAAAGCCCTGTGACAAAAGTCATCAGCATGTTTCACTTGCTAGTGTCGAAGAAACAGGTATCTATCCGACTAAACTGGGTAGAGCTCTTTTGCGTGCTGCGAAAGTCACGTTAGGTCTTGTAGGAACACCTTCTTAGGTCGGCAGTAGGAGTGCTCGCTTTCGGACTTTGCCTGGGATGAGATGTTTAAGCACTGGAAACACCGAGCTGTGAAGAAGTGCGTGGCTCTGAGGCATCACAGTCCAAGCGGGGGTGTGAAAGTTCCTGTCTGGCTCAAGGTTTCGGCTCAACCCCGGTGGGGTGCTCAGGTAGAGAGCGTCTTTAGTGCCGTTGTGGCTGGCCCTGGGGCTTGTAACTAAGGGTAGGTTCCGTTTTGAGGCCTGGCAAAACTGTGTTTGCTCGTAGGCCGGCTGACCGGCTAAGCTGTCATAGAGCGGCGGCCCGCCAACTGCTGCCGTCGACGAAGGGCGTGAGTGCACAGTTTTCGGCCTCGCTTCGCTAGAGGGAAGCTTTTCGTCCTCGCGTTGCTGAGGGAACCTTGTGGCCTACAGTCTGCTCTGGGTCACAGTGAGAGTTGCAGCCTCGCATTGCTTGAGGGGTGACGCAAGCCTGTTGCTCACCAGAGATTCCTGCTGTCTCTGGGTGAGCAAAACCCACCGACCCTCATTTGGATTGAGGGCTGTGCTGAAGGTGAGTTTGGGTTCCTCGCTCACTTGTGTGGAAAACGAAGGTGAGACCGAAACACGGGGGGAAACGGCCAGGCACGCTGCAGACAGTGCAGGCCAACGTCGCACTGCAAGAGGCATCCTTGCAGTGGCGACAGGAGTGTCCCGAACAATTGCGGTGTGCTCGAGCCCAAGCTTGCAGGTTTTCGGGGATCTGCAAGCTGAGCACAACAGGATTTTCTTCGCAGGTAGAATCAGGTAGAAAAGATTTGGCCCAACCCTGGTGGATCTGCCTGGACATAAATAACCAGAGGCATCAGTGTCGTAAAGCTCATTGACTGGTGCTACTGAGAAACCGTTGCCAAGGAACTTGCAGTAGGACTGTGGTGCGGCGCAGTGCAAGTTGAAGAGCAGCTGGTGGTGGCTGCTCCCCGGAAAACCAATAGTCCAAGAAGCCTCCTTCGGCCTCGCTCCGTGCTGAGGGTTTGTAAGGGTTGGTATTGGCCGGAAAGGATTCAGATGGAGGTTACCCGATCTTCGCGCTTTTCCCATCTGAAGGCAACCAATGGTAATCAGCCTGCTGGACATGGCAGGCCTGCTTTTGTTTACATCCACGTCTCCTGCAAGGGCTGGGGTCTGTCCGTGCACACAGACAAGGCGGAACCTTGCAGATGTTTAGGTCCTCGCGGCACGGCCGCTGGAGGTTGTTTGAAGATGTTGGCTCTCACTATCTGGTGAGTGGTTTGTATGGGCACTTGCTGGGGCAAGGCGGCTCTGGCGTCTGAGGATGGTACATGTGCTGGCTGCTGAGTACGGGCCACCGAAAGAGACCTGTGGTAAGACAAGCGATGAAAGGAGCCGAACTCCTAAAGAAAGGACAGGCTAGCTCACGCGGACGCCACGCAGAGTATGTGTTACTATCTTCAGATGTTGGAGCCAAATTGCCAGCCTTGTGACGTGAGATGTGGTGTTTGGATTCGGCCTCAAGCACTGGAAGGCCTACAACAACAAATCCGAATGAAAACTGTGGTCCTAAGACACGCGGTGCAGCTGCTTATACGTGGCACCGCGGGGGTCACAAAGAGATAGAGGGCTTGCCAGCAGGGGAACTCTGTCTAAAGAGAGCCCTGGCTCAGTGAGGAGCTGAGGGCCTGGCTGCGCTGATGCAGCGGAATGGTTGTTCGGCCTCGCCTCCGCTGAGGGAACAACAGTCAATGCTTCTCTGCAGTGTCGGTCCGGGTTAGTAAGAGCGAGAACGCCGGGACCTCGAGCTGCAGTTTTACCATGAAGCAACCGCGTGAGATGCATTATTGGTCAACTGGTGAGTAAGAGCGAGAAAGCCAGGGTGACGCTACTTTGGGGGAGGCTGCAAGGCACGGTTAGTAAGTGCGAGAAAGCCGGAGCTGCGGACGAACCTGGAGTAGCAGTTTTTCATACCTCACGTGTTTCACTTTGCGGCCTCGCATGCGCTGAGGAAATATGCCTCGAACAGAACATCCAGTGCTGAGTGGGGATTGCCAAACTTACGGAGGCTGATGCCACAACAAGTGCCTCAACAGCAATGCATGCGGAGGGCAAAGTTCGGCCTCGCGAGTGCTGAGGGTTGCAGCTGAGAGAGGGCCTAGCTGAGAACGCAACACCTCAAGCGAGGTAATTTTTAGTTTAGTTTCACCTTGACCAACGGCCCCTTCGGGTGGCTACGCCTCGCAGCGTGCAGACGAAAGTTCCTGTCTAAGGACATGTTAACTTTGTTGTCCTGCATGCTGGCTCAGAGTTGTGTGTGTGTAGTTGTAGGAACTCCGTAGTTGTGCCTTGGAGGCTCGACGGGAGTGCTGCTTTAAGTGGGAAAGCCTTTTGAAGTGCTTGAGTTGTAGGGATGTGTGTCTGGAAGCTGTAGAAGTGTCTGTGCACGTTTTTGCCTGCTTTAGGTGTAGTTGGGTAGGTCCCGAGAACTCCCACTGACGTTTGAGTTTGTGTTGTGGCTGTGGAGAACACGTGGCAGAGCAGAGTTTTCACCTGTGTGTAAAGAGTTTCACTGACGAAGCCTCCGGCTTATGATTTTGGCTCAAGTCGTGAGAAAAGAGGGTTCAGCGCGCTGCTGCTGTGTTTTCACAAGGAGGCAGCGTGTGGCGGCGAGCATGTTTGGTTGTGCCCGGGCGTTCACAACTGGTCTGAGCCAAAGGTGCCGCCATCATGAAAGAGGGAGGAAATGGGGACAACACGCATCACAACGAGGGAGGTGTTACCCACAATCCCCTGCGCGGAACAGCTGTAACATCAACGCGTCTCCTTTTATCCTCTTGCCTCTCGACCTCTAGTATATCCTGAACTTCCAGGATAAGGCGCTTGGACACCCTGTTTGCCTTTGGGTGCTTTGGAAGAGCAGGGTTATGACACGCAATACCCGCAGCATTTAGCGCATCAACTGCCGCATTAAATACTCTTCGTGGTGGTAATAGCAAAGACATCTTGCAGGCCAACAAATTCCTGGTCAGGTGTGACTTGTGGATGACTTCGAATCATCTTCCGGCTGCGGAATTAGCTCGAGTGCTTTGGTGGAGGAACTCTCGGCCAGCACGCAGGGCATCTACGATCCAAGCCGGAATTGACCCCCACCAGACAGGTTCCGGCGGGCCTCTGACGAGTCCACCGCCAGCAACTTCTCCGCCCCCCCTGCGCGATTTTTTCAGGCGCAAAGGAAAGCCTCCATCTACGTGGACTCGCGCCTGCGCACACGGGCACAGACAGCAGCTTCTCGTTCAACATCGGCGATTCGGTGCACATCGGAGCCAAGCTGGCCGTCTACAAGGTGCGCATTGCCGACACTTTTCTGAGCACGGACCGCAGGACCTTCCTGCACTGGAAGGACAACTGGCACCCTGCACTGCGCCAAGCTCTCCGTGTGGGCGCATACACGGGACCGAGGCTGGTAGCATGGATTTCCAATTTCGCGGGGCTGTACTGCGGAGACAAATGAGCTGGACGTGACCTACAACGGTGTGATCCGCCAAGCTCCGGCAGCGCTTCCCCACGGGCTCCTACCCGCCGGGCGCCTCGCCCAGCAAGCCCCTGTCCATTCTTTTTGGGCCCCAGCCACCTTGCGGGCTCCGTGCAGCGCTTCGTCTTTTCACTATAAACCGTTCTCAAAGCTGTATCTAAAGACGATGCCCTTTCCGGAGCGGCGCAACAAGGCCGCGATGCTGCGGGCCTTTCACAAGCAGTATCACGCCCTTATGGATCTTTCCAAATTTCCTAGCCACTCCTTTTTGTTTCTCTTCTTGCCATTTCTTTTCTTCTTCTTTTTCTTCTCCTTCTTCTCGGCTTTCTTTTTCCTTCTTGTTTTTCTTCTTCTCATTCTTTTCCATTTCTTTGCGCTTGTTCTCAAAGGATTCCTTTGCGATCCTTGCCTTCTCTATTTTCGCTCCTTTTGCAACTCGGAGAAACTAGATTTCCGGGAGTCCCTTTTCTTCTTCTTTTCTCTTACTTCTTGCTCCTGCGCTTTCTCGATCTCTTTTTGCCATCTTGCGCAACGACTTGTTATCGTTCCACTTCACTTCTGTCTTCTTTCTCGCTTTTCTTCTTTTCTACCTCAGCATTCGCTTCTTCCATAAGCTCCGTCACTTCTTCATCCTTCTTTTTAGGGCTCTTTGGCACTCGTTCATCTTCCTCTTGTGAACTTTGACTTCTGGGCCTCAGGATTCTTGTCTTCCTTCCGCTTCCTTTCGGCTTCGGCCTTTTGCGCCAGCACGTCTTTTCCAACTTTTCAACGACCTCTGGTAATAAGTCGCGTTTGCACGGCCTCGCTTGCCTTTTCCAACGTGGAAGCAGCCGGCAGAATTCTTCAACGAAGGGCACTGAACAACCCTGCCTTGTGGCTTATCACATGCTGAATCATCTTCAGGCATGCTGCTGCTTTGCGGCCTCAAGCCAAAGGCAAGTCAGTTACAACCTCAGCAAGTGTAACTTCTTGGAAGAAGTTACACTCTTGCTTTTGGCTTGTCAGCATTGCCAATACGTCTTGCTCAAGTCGGCTTTCATTTTCTTCGTCCGTCCTTTTATTTGCTCGTGTGCTCCTTTGCTTTCCGACTTTGCATCCAAGGATTTCCACTTGGCTTTCTTCTCCTCAGGTTGGTCTTCCTTGGCACCCTTTTCCGTCTTCTTGTTCTTGATCACATCCGGTGCAACCTTTGGCATTGCCTTCACTTTCGGCTCAACTTTCTTCTTCGGCATTGCCTTTGACTTGGCTCTCTTCATCCTCTCTCCAAGCTGTGCTCCAAGTTCGGCTGCCTTTCGCTTGGCCTTTTCAAATTTCCACAGTCCTTCTTCGACTTCGGCATAAAAGCCTTTCACGCTTATCAGCTTTGCCAGTCCGATTTTTGCTTCGTCCATCGTTTCGGTGAGAAGTTCCTCTCGAGCGGCCAGCTCTCCCAGTTCCTTTTCGAACTTCTCGATGAGCTCTACCGCTTTTTTTCTTCCTTGTTTGCGCTTCTCAAACTTCTGGCGTCCTAGTTCGACCTCCTTTTCCATTTGTCCAAGGGTTTGCTCGATTTCAGCATGTTCCTTGTCGATTTCCTCAGCGCCTGCTTCAACTTCTTCGAGAGTCTGCGCTGCCCTGAGATTTTTCTCCAGCCATAATAGCACTTTCCTCAGGGAATTTGAAATCGACTCTTTGATGCTCTTCTTGATCTCTTGCAACAGTTCTCGACCCATGGCGATGATCTTCTTTATCAGTTCTCCAGGATCTTCTTCCTTCTCGACCGGACCCTTCTTTTCATCGCTTGGCTTCTCGACTGACTCCTCTTCGGTTGACGATGAGCTGCTGCTTGAGCTCGACTCATCTGAACCTGCTTCGTCGCTCACGACCATTGGCTCATCTTCAGCCTGTTCTTCTTCTTCCTCGCCTTCATCTTCCTCAACTTTTTCTTTCTCGCCACCTTTTTCGATCTTCTGCTGAATCCTTTCCAAGGCCATCTTCCTTCGCTTCTTTGCACCTTCCTTCGATCTTTGGCTCTTTTCTCCATCACTTGCTGGTGGCTCTCTCCTTCTCCCTGAGCTGATTCTTCTTCCATTTCCACTTCTTCTTCTTCTTCGGCAGTCGGCTTCTCTTCCTTTTCTTTCTCCAACTCTTCTTCTGCAATCGGCTTCTCTTCCTTTTCCATTTCTTCAACCTTGTCCATTTCTCCACTAGCTTTGGACTTCGGTCCAAGCGTCGCTTTCGCAAAAGCTTTAAGCCGAAATGCTGTGGATGCACACATGAACACAACCATTCCACATGTGACTGCTACCATGAACATGATGCTGCAAACATGTCGGTTCGTCCCTGTTTCTTCGACTTTGCATTCACCGACTTCACACATCAAAACCATTGTCACGACTCTCGCAATTTTCTGGACCATTGCGCCTGAAACTGATTTTCCTTTCTTCCTTTGATTCCAGGTTTCAACTTCTCCTTCTTCCATTTCATATCCGAGAACCACCATGTACTTCCTGATCTTTTCCTTCGTCAGTGCCTTTGTTCCTAAATCAGCGGGATTTTCAGTTCCTTTTATCGCCTCGATTTCCAATCCTCGGATCTTTTGAATCCACGGTAGGTTCACATCCATGTGTCTTGCTCTTCCCAATCCTTCTTCGCGCAATCAGTTGTCTTGACGACCTTGAATCTGAAAACAATCTCAGCTTGGGTTCGATGCCCAAATTCTCTTCAACAATTCTCGCAAGAAAACGGCTTCCGATAAAATTCCTGTTGATGCCACAGTTTCTGCCTCGCAACTTGACAAAGACACATTTCTTTGGCGTTTCGATTGAAAGTGAACCATGTTTCCATTCACCAGGATTATTCCGCAGCTTACCGATTGTCGATTCTCGCAATCAGCTGCCCAGTCGCTGTCGGAGCATACTTCAATCAGACTCTGCTGTTCGTAGATGTTTCTTTCTCTAGGTTCTTCTTGTCCATAGTTGTACTGCTTTTGGAAACTTTTCCAGGATAGCTCGTTCCTTGTACCAACTTCATCTCTGAATGCTCTTTCAGGTACTTTCCAACGTGTCTTAGCAACTCCAGGTCTCCGTTCGTCGGCTTCGCAAGCTTTGTCGATAGCTTTTTCAACACGAACATGATATCTGGTCGTTCTGGAGCTAGATACAGTCGTATCCCGACTCCTTGTCGAAAGATGTGTTCTTCAGCATTTAGCTCTTCTTTGCCATTCTTCGAGCACTTCAACAAGCTTTTCGATGTACTTTGAGTTCATTTCAACTTCGACTCCTCTGCTGTTCACTTCGAAGCTTCTTTTCAAGAATCCAAACTTTCCTCCTTGCTTGTCTATTGGTCCTTCGATTTTCAGCTTGGGCTTCTTCTCTTTCCTGAACTTTGTCAAATTTTCGAAATCTAGTCCATACTCTTCCAGGACTCCTTGCAACTTTCCAAACCATGCGCTTGAACCAATCCTTTGTCCAGGTAACGTGAATCCTATCTTCATCTACAACAGTCACTATTGTCGGTTCC